TTGCTATGTCTTTGTAGTAAAATAGAAAAAAGGATATTTTATTCACTATTAAATCAGATGTTCCAAGGGTTTTTCCATCAGTCACCAATTATCCAAGGTTATATCATAAGGACAAAAGGTCTAGCAACACTCCCAGGCTTCTCATGGATCCTGATGTGTTTAAGGACCAGAAAGTATAGATAATCCTTTCAGCAGGATTTGGCTCTGCCCTGGGATCTCCTTACATCGGGACATGTCTAAAGAGCTTCCAGGTTACGTGACCAGGGGGCATCGTCAGATCCTCAAACTACCTCAGCTGACTCCTTTTCATAGAGGAGCTTTACTCTGAGCTGCCACATGATGATGGGAGTCCTCCCAGCCATTCAGTGGAAGAAGCTCATTTGGGCCACCTTCGTGTATCTAGAATCCAGAACTTGTAACCATAGGTGAAGAATACAGTGTAGACTAACCAGAAAACCAAGAACTTTGCCATTTAGCTCAGCGCCTCTTTCACCCAGACACCCTGATCCAACTGTCCGTCTTTCACTCCATCCCACCATCACTCATGAAGAGGACACTACGAAACGTGAATGTTTCTGCATAAGGCATAGACTCACTCCCAATCCAGAGGGATCAATCCTCCTTTTTCCGGTTGAGAGCCATGGCCACAGACTCAGTGGAGCCAACTCTCATCCTGGCTGCTTCGCAGTCTTCAGTGAAAGGAAAATATTAGATAATTATCTATAAATTGGAAAAACTTTGTATTTTATGTTGGTGTTTGTAAAAATCAGTTTCTGCTATATGAGCTGCTCATAAAGAGGAATATTTTTGGCAATAAATCATTATCATTATTGTGTCAAGTTGAAGAAGAGGAGACCATGTTACGAAGAAGCTTTCAGAATGCCCATTTGGCATGCAGCGTTACACAGTTTTACTTTAATATCCAAGGTCTGAAATGTCTTAGTCTTTCCAATGGAAACATTTACTATGACACTATAAAATCTCCATCTATTGTCATTTTTGTTAAAATCCACTTAGATCAGTCCTTGATGGAATCATTAGACCTGACATGACACTAGACCTTCTGTCCTCCCATTGCCACAATGCAGTTTCTTGGACAAAAGCATAGAAATGACTCATTCTGAGGCCTATCAGACTTTGTATCTGGATGCCAAAAATGTTCAGTGACGTTATTCTAATTATCTATTAAATGAAGGGCAACTGGCTAAATGTCCAACTGTCATCTATTTATTGCACAGTACAAGTGATGGGAGTGAGAGTTTGAAATGTTGTGTAGTGTTTTTATCAATCTCTTATTGAAGCCATGTGTGGTTTTGGTTTTTCTGCAACATCTTGCATAAACCAGCAAGATGAAATGCAAATGAAAGCCCTGTTTAAGTGGGAAGAAAGATGTCAGTAGTCTCAGTAAACCTCAATCAGTTTCCTTTTGGCGCCAGCAAAGCTCAGCATAACGCATTTCTTGACTAAATTTGTCTGATTTTCTTTGTCTGACTTACCTTTGGGTTGTCTTAAAGTTATGTACAAATTATTATTGAAATTGTTAATGTTTCCTGCACACCATCAGAAAATGTAACTCCACCCCTAGTCAAGATTTGAAAAATGCTATGAAAGTGGGTGTTGCAAGGAGGCACAGAGTAGCATGGCCAAGTGTAGGGAATTTCCATCCTGGGAGGGAAGGGGAGAGGGAGGAGGCTGTACAGATGACGTGAAATTGTACCAGCCCCAATCAATCACAAATTTAAAATGCAGTAGCCGCTGTTCTGCCACAGGGGGCAGCACTAAGACATTTTTAGATCTAGATTCTAGATTTGATCAAGTTTACGCCAACATGTCAATAAATGCACTGAAACAGAAAGATTGCATTTGTAAAGACCCAATCATTCCGTTTATAAGCAAAAATCATTTTATTCTGGGGGTTAGTTACTCTTTGAAGTGACTCAAGTAAAATCTAGATATCACATGGCTCAGCTGCTCAGTGTTCCCCTCGATAATAGCCTGGCTCTTTTATAAAAGAACGTTATTGGATTTTGATTAGTATCCAGTGTGACCATAACAATATTGCAGCGCTGAGCCTCTGCAAATGTGTTCTGGGCTATAATAGAAACAAATTATTATATTTCCTGTTTTTAATTTCGAGCAAAAAGTAGAACTGGGAGCACAGTGGAGGAGATTAAAATATGGGTGGCTATTTTTGGGTAGATGTTTGGCAAAATTAGGCAGGAAGTGTGTGACTTTTCCCAAAACCTATGTCTGTTTTTCTCCATGGACAATCACTGTTATTCCGTCAAATTTAAGAATTACATCTGCTTTGAGAATGGAGATTTCTGACTGTATATGTCAGCTTTTTGCAAGTTATTTCACAATATTTGTGCTCCAAACTTTGAGAGAAGAAGAACTTTAACACATTTAATGGATTTAAGATTCTTGTTAAATATATAAAACATGCAGGGTACTTTTGAACCATACCATACCACATTTATTTACAGAGCACATTTGAAAATAGCATGTCAGCTGACCAAAGTGCTTGAACACAGAAAGAGGGCAATGTAAAAAGAGACAAAATAGCAGTAAAACCAATGTTAAAATAAGCCCTCACAGTCAAAGAATATACAACATAAAATCAAGAATGCAACCCAAATGGCTAAAACATAAAAAACAGTTGCAATAACAAGATAAAAACAACATAAGAGCAACAAAGTGATAAAACAGTAAAAGGAAATAAGTACGGTACAATTCAGGGACAAAATCCGCTAATTAAAATTTTACTGTCCAAAAGCTATTCTGAAGAGATTTGACTTAAAGAGATAATGTGTAGTTTTTACAATTAATCTGTGGAAATATCCACCAAAATGTTGTTGAAAATTAGTGAAATGATGCTTAGTTGATGAAAAATATTGGCGGATTTGTAACATACAGGTGCTGGCCAGTAAATTAGAATATCATCAAAAGGTTGAAAATATTTCAGTAATTCCATTCAAAACGTGAAACTTGTACATTATATTCATGCAATGCACACAGACCAATGTATTTCCAATGTTCATTACATTTAAATTTGATATTTATAGGTGACAACCAATGAAAACATCAAATCTGGTATCTCAGAAAATTAGAATATTCTAAAGGCCAATGAAAAAATGTTTGTTTCTCTAATGTTGGCCAACTGAAAAGAATGAACATGAAAAGAATGTGCATGTATAGCACTCAATACTTAGTCGGGGCTCCTTTTGCCTCAATAACTGCAGTAATGCGGCGTGGCATGGACTCGATCAGTCTGTGGCACTGCTCAGGTGTTATGAGAGCCCAGGTTGCTCTGATAGTCGTCTTCAGCTCCTCTGCATTGTTGGGTCTAGCGTATTGCATCCTCCGCTTCACAATACCCCATAGATTTTCTATGGGGTTAAGGTCAGGCGAGTTTGCTGGCCAATCAAGGACAGGGATACCATGGTCCTTGAACCAGGTGCTGGTGGTTTTGGCACTGTGTGCAGGTGCCAAGTCCTGTTGAAAGGTGAAGTCTGCATCCCCATAAAGTTGGTCAGCAGCAGGAAGCATGAAGTGCTCTAAAACTTCCTGGTAGACGGCTGCATTGACCCTGGACCTCAGGAAACAGAGTGGGCCAACACCGGCAGATGACATGGCACCCCACACCATCACTGACGGTGGAAACTTTACACTGGACCTCATGCAACGTGGATTCTGTGCTTCTCCGCTCTTCCTCCAGACTCTGGGTCCTTGATTTCCAAAGGAAATGCAGAACTTGCTTTCATCAGAAAACATAACTTTGGACCACTCAGCATCAGTCCAGTCCTTTTTGTCCTTGGCCCAGGCGAGACGCTTCTTGCGCTGTTTCTTGTTCAAGAGTGGCTTGACACACGGAATGCGACACCTGAATCCCATGTCTTTCATGAGTCTCCTCGTGGTGGTTCTTGAAGCGCTGACTCCAGCTGCAGTCCACTCTTTGTGGATCTCCCCCACATTTTTGAATGGGTTTGTCGTCACAATTCTCTGCAGGGTGCGGTTATCCCTAGAGCTTGTACACTTTTTTCTACCACATTTTTTCCGTCCCTTCGCCTGTCTGTTAATGTGCTTGGACACAGAGCTCTGCGAACAGCCAGCTTCTTTAGCAATCACCTTTTGTGTCTTGCCCTCCTTGTGCAAGGTGTCAATGATTGTCTTTTGGACAGCTGTTAAGTCAGAAGTCTTCCCCATGATTGTGGTGCCTTCAAAACAAGACTGAGGGACCTTTTAAAGGCCTTTGCAGGTGTTTTGAGTAAATCAGCTGATTAGAGTGGCAGCAGGTGTCTTCTATATTCAGCCTTTTCAGAATATTCTAATTTTTTGAGATACCAAATTTGGAGTTTTCATTAGTTGTCACTTATGAATATCAAATTTAAATGTAATGAACATTGGAAATACATTGGTCTGTGTGCATTGCATGAATATAATGTACAAGTTTCACGTTTTGAATGGAATTACTGAAATATTTTCAACCTTTTGATGATATTCTAATTTACTGGCCAGCACCTGTATAACTACAAAAATCAGGTCTAAAATACATGGGAGCGGGTCTGTCTCTGGGTGACACCATTTTAAATGCCATGTTTCCTTCTACGGGAGCCCATGGGGACAAAATGCATCTACTGATTTGTAACAAATGGTTACAAAACTTTCACCATTCAAAAATGTGTTTTACACAATTACCTTTTCATTTTTGTTGCCAGTGATGAAATGGAGTATGATGTGCTTGTTATTTTGCTGAATTTTGCACTTCTCAGGGCTTTTTGACCCTAACAGGCATCCATTGGTAAGGTCTTATTCACACACAAAAACACTGCTTGCTTGTAACAATTTAAGTATCTACTGGCCCCTATCGCCAGGAAAAATACACACTGTCACTTTAAGGCTGGATTTAAATGTGCAAGTGAAGACTACCCAAGCAAGGTTTCAATACCATATTGGTTAATACATCTTCAGTTTGCTGATTGCTGTTATTTTGTTTTTAGGTCAGAGTCAGGAATCTCCAAATTTACCCATCGCCTCTCTCTGAAGGAACGGCCATTCAAATCAGAGAAGACATCTTCAGATAGACCACCATCCTACAGAAGACGATCTCTTAGCGTGGACTGGTAAGACTAAAAGACATTATCTAATGTTTTTATACGTTTTATTTTAGGATTGCTAAAATAAATCAACGATTTTAAAGCTGTGACCTGATGTCTCCAAGCAAACACGACAGGAACATGAGTTTAGACTGCATGTGAATGGATTTGATTGCAAGGGCATCTTAAAAAGTTTTGATTGTCTCAATTTGAAATGCAGGTCTGAAGTGAACTTCAGGGTTGTTGACATGTACCTGAATACAGAAATGAAGCTTGGGTCGACTGGGACTGAGGGCTGCTTTTTGGGTCAAGGCAGAGAGTGGGCAGGGTGATGATAGCATCCTTTTCTGCCTCAGCATCTTGGTTTCATTGAGGAGCGCCAAGTAGCTCTAGTGGCGCCAGCTCATCTTGCTCTTTTAAAGTCCCAGTCTTCAGGCAGCTGATGAAAGGAGTTTGAAAGCTTTCCATTGCCAGGCTGCCTTCCCATCCCCACCCATGGGAGTCCTTCTCACTCTCCTTTTTTTCTTTTGCTTGGCCTTAACTCATTTATCTACCCATTGATCCTGCTGTACGTCCATCTGGCATCCTCCTTGAGCTTCCTGTTATGTATTATTGGCTTTTTTTGTGTGATTTTCTCATTGTTGGGAACAAAACTCTGGTTTTCAACTAACCATATTGTTCCTTTGCCCTTGATTGTTTAAGTGAAACTTCATAGACTCATTTCCAGTTTACCTGGAGTTTTGTAAGAACTGTTCCGTTCAGTTATTTGTGATTTATGGAGCTGCAGGTAGGATTCATTGAGGTTCTGAGAAATCATGTTGGGGCCTTCTGTGGGGTCTTACGAGATCTTTAGTTAGCCTTAAGAGATGGACTTGTGTGGTCGTGAGCGGACACTAATGTGTGGTCCGCCAACAGAAATTTGGTGTGAGGCATGTAGCTGAGGTGTGCAATGCGAGGTCCTTTATTTTAACAGCTCAGTTTTTTTATTTATTTTTTACTCCCATGTTACTGGAGAGGGGACCTGGCCTTTAAAGTTCAGGCCCTGATTGATGTGGTCTGGTTTTAATGGAGCACAGTGGGTATATTGGACATGCTCATTTATGAGAGGGATGAGGAGCGGATCAGCTACAGCTGGAGTCTGACTTTCTCCGTGCCGTGCCACTGTTGCAGGGGTGTGACTCGCCTTTTGTGACATAACAAATAAGAGTTCGTGAGGAGAGATTTAAGCTTTAGTGCTGAGTCAAGCTCTTGGGAGGTCAATCAAGGTTGGTCCATTCCTTAACAAGAGCTGAGTAGCTCCCTTGGAATGCTCAGTCATTGGCGTGGTCAGACGTAACACACATTTCTGTTAGTGTCTTAAAAGTCAAGTAGATAGTTGAAATTGTTCAACATTAAATGTTTTGTGGTCTGTTTGGGCACGCTAGCTTGGTTTACTTATGAAAACCATTTTTTTCTAACATTCTTTATAATAAAGTCCAGTAGGATGACAGTGGTTCCTCTACAGGTGTGCGTTTTTCTAAACAGGACCCAAAATGTTGCTGAATGCACTGGAGTGTGTTAACCTAATGTCACATTCCAGTGAAATTAAATGGGAAAATGTAAGCTTTTTTTTTTTTTTTTTTGCATGCCTTCTAAGTAAAGTCTCATAATGTGTATTTATGCCCTGCTCTCTCCTCTGGCCCTTTAAATCGACCATACAGCAAGTGTAACACGAGACAAGAATCACACAAAATACCGAGCTGGAAACCTCCCAGCAGCCCTCCACGGAAAAGCAGTTTACATAACACTTTACTTTCTATTGGCTTAACACTCCACTTTCTATTTAGTGGACCATTGCCATGTAGATTGAAGTCAGATACCCAAACAAACTGTGACCATTAAGGAAATTGTGTGGCAATGCAGCCCGTGTACAAGTTAGAAACCATAGCTGTTTTGTAGCTTTATCAAAATCTGTGAGGGTTGGCAAGGTTTTGAGAAAATGCGATAATAAAAGATAACGGCTGTGTTACTGTTATTGGTAATCATAGTAAATTGTCTCCAGGGGTATGGCTGGTGAATTGAGGGAAGGGAGAGGGCATGTTAGTGTTTACGGTGAAAAGAAACTCTGCTTAATGGGATTGCAGAAAGAAATGATGGAATAAAGATATTTAATCTAAAATTGTAGAAAATAGGTAAATATAGAGTAGGGCTAGACGATAATTCAATAATGATATGTGTCTATCGATAGACATGTGGTGAGATAGACAAAAGGCGGGTCAATTAAACTTTGATAAAAATATTTCCTGTCATTTTTCATTATAGCCTATCAGGTAGCTTAATACCAGACTCCCAACCAATCAACAATACAGATCCAAGCACATTCCATCACCAGGCCCTTCCCTCTCAAACCTAAGCAGACAGAACATGACTTAAACAAGACGTTGCAGCAAGGAGTGGCAGAGGAAGTGTTCCCAAAAGAATAATTTGGTTTTTACAAGTCCTTGGCTAAATTTGTTAAGGGTGCTGAGTCCAGTTCTTCAGCACATTTGTTTATTTTCTCGTTTTTTCTTCTCCTTTCATGGCGCTGCTGTTGCAAGGCTGTGGCCGACTGGCCGGTCTCTGCCGCTAACGCTCAGCACCAGTGATGTATCGTGACCAACGAAACAGCTCTTTATAGTGTGTGTCCTTGAGAGAGAGGGTAGGAGGCAGCATCCTATATATCAGACGTCTCTAAAAGTATCACTGCTCACGCCTGCCTTTGTTTACTACTGAAACTTATTATACATATAAAATACAACGTTATCTCCCGTGTCATGTGACGTTACGTGACTGCCACGGCTGTCGTCGCAAGGCATCGCCTTGCGAGGCTAGGCGCCTTTACATTGAGAAACACCCCCTGTCTTCTGAAGCTCACTTCTACTTCCTGAAACAGGTGCACCAGAGCTTTATTTCCCCAGAGTACGACTTACAAGGCATTAATTCCTACTAGAGCCCACTGTAAATACATTGACTAAATGATTGAACCACACCTTTAAGCACTTAGCTAGTTGAGTTTGTTTTCTGTGCAGTAGACAATTAGGAAAGTCTGAGACTTATAATCCACGGACTATGGCAGGACACTGGTTGAATTTCATCAAAGTTCTATTGAAACAAGTGTCTTCACTTCTAAATTCTAATCTTTTTTTAATAATTTTTACCAACAGAGAAGATACTGTGCATATCATCCAGTTTGTTTATCTTTTTTTTTTTTTTTTTTTTTTGCCAAAATGGTTTCCCAGCAGGAATCCTGCACAGAAGACTTAAAGTCCTTGAAATCTCCATGTGACATAGCATCACCAAATCCACCCATCAAAGAATAGTTTCAAGTATTGATCTGGTGGTAACGTTAGCCTGGGCCTCGAGACCTCGCCATTCCTTGAAGACTGCCCACTGTGCCACGCTGTCTTGAGGGATATCCTGACAGCACTCCCAGGATGACTTGTTAGCTTTGATGTTGAAGGGGGACTTCGCTTGCCCTTCCCTCACTTGGTACATTAAAACAGGCACATGCTCATAGTGGCAGGAAGCCATGCCTGCATGTCAGATTTCTCTTCTTAATATTCATGCTCACACATATACATGAGCAAGCACACGTTGTAATACTTAGGAGTGTGTTGGGCAGGGGTGTGCGGTGCTAATCCTTATGAACTTTGCACAAAGAAACTTGAAAAGACCACAGAAAAATCACTAATTTCTTACTGGAAAAAGAGGGGCAACACAGAAAGTGTAAAGTGGTTTTGGACCATCTGCTTCTTGCCTCATTTGGTTCTAATTTAATTCAATATTACCCTCTTTTTTTTTCTTCCCTTTGATTTTCCCCCTTTCTTCTGTGGCACAGGGCCTTCAGCTCAAACAAAAAGGACAAATGAGGAGGTTATGAATGCCAGTCTTTTTTTTCTCTATAGAATTTCTAATCACAACATATTAAAGACCTATTAAAGATCCTTGCAGAATAGAATAATTTCCTGTTTCTATTGGAATGCTTGGCACTTTATTTTTCCTTTGTGGCCGCAGATAAAATACTGAACTTTTGCAAAGCTTTGCCATAAACCACCTAGCTGTGCAAAATCCTATATGGGCAAGTTAAAGACAATAAATAAATTACAGATAAACAAATTTCTATCTTGTATACAAGCTATACATATTTGACCTTATGTTTGTACTTTTCAATAAATAATACAACCATATTCATGGACTTGTATATAAACGACAAAATGAAAGTGAATGGAAATTTCCATCACGTTAACCATATCTTATTCAGTTCTGGTTGTGCATTTCAAATATGTCATTGTCTTAGTTTTGATGACTGCCTATTAAAACTAAAATATGTAATTGTGAAGCCAGAAATACATCATATTTAAGGCTACTTTTGCTCCTAAGCAGATGATAGTTTTCTGAATATTTTGTGAGTAGAAGTTTTTACCCTAGTGTCCTTCTTTAGGTCCCAGATGGGGTTGGGGTGGTCCATGAGGGTCCGTCTACAGCGAGGGGATTTTGACAGAGAGAGTCCAGCGATGGGAAACCAGATCAGAATCAAAGCAAATCATTCAGAATGCATTTACTTTAATTAAAAAATAAACTATATATGCTATTTACATTCAAGCAGCTAGGTTTAGTGGAGCTAGTATAGAATCAGTAGAATCATAACCTGGTTAAGTAAATTCAACATTTGATTTCTCAGAGTACACATACCATAGTAATGACACGTTAAAATGTGTGCATGTCACCACCGAGTCCGTTACTTAGGTTTCAGGATTTCTTTTTACATGTTATTTAATTTCATTTTTTTAATATTAATTCTTTTTAAATGGTTGTTTCTACTCTGTTTCTGCCTGCCTCAGTATGAAGTCGTTTTTACAAAAAAATGCCGTCAATTAGATGTAATGCTGTGGCGGCATCAGGAAGCCTCAGGTGGATTATAAGCGGCAGTAATGCTGTGCAGTCTTGTCTTTTTCACAAAAGATTATGCGATGGTGGCATAGGGAGCCTAAGTCACCTCCCCCTCCGGT